CCCCCCCTTTTTTTGGATGGCTTTATTTCTTGCTCTTTTTTTTTCCATATGATTAAAGTTGATGGTCCAGAAACTTGTGTAGTTCTGTATTGTAGTTCTGTATGTAGGCTGCATCTAATTAGCTTGTTTACATGATGGTCAGAAAGCAAAAAAGTATTTTCATATTGTTGCAACAAAGCGAATTGATTTTTTTTTTAGAAGTTTTCTTAAAAGCTCCAGAAGTTGAAACTTTATTGTGCTTAGCTTATGATGGAAAAATTGGTGCAAAGTCATATTTTTAAAACCACAAAAAATAATTAAAAAAATAATCCAATTTTATTCAGAGGAAGAGCTAAAACATAAATTCTAATTAACAAAGTTTTCAACAGTTCAAAAGATCACAGTGGGCTATGTTCTGCTTTTGGTTTTGATTTTTTTATTATTATTACTTTAAAAGTTTTCCTTGGGACTTCCATGATAATAGCTGAAATTTTATGTGAGGTTGAAGAGTCATTTGCATGGGAATTGGTGCTGACAATGAAGAGGCTGCAGTTTCCCCGTCCAATAGCAGACAACTTCAGTCATAGTCTAAGACTTTCGCAGGCCTTGCAGCATAGTTCATCTTTAAGAATATTTTTTGTATAAGACACAGACCAAATTTGCATTTTCTGTTTGTAAAATTTCAGTTGTGTGTTCAAAATTAGTCTAATTGATGTATTAATGGTTCAAATTAGGTTTATGAATGACTGCCATGTAATCAGAAGCCTTCTTTAGCAATAATACTGTAGATAGCTTGTTAATGAACGTGAACTTACGTTGACACAGGTGTAGAGACCAGTGTATCAGAGTTGTAGAACTAAAGGACTTAGATTTGTAAAGGTATTTAACTGTTCTCAGTATGCTGTGTTCCTTTTGACTGTATTTTGTGATGGTTGAGGCTTCAAATGCATTTAACAATTACAGGACTGAATAATTCTAAGCATTTTTTAAAAATCTGAATAAATGTTTTGGAAAGTAGGAAATAGTGTTTAAATGTTGAAAAGTAAACTGTTTGGCAAAACATACAATGAAACAGCCTCTCAAAGCAGATCAGAAAGGGGAATTAGGGAGGAGAAGGTGGGAGTGAGAAGTTTCTGCTTCTGTTTGTGGAAATAGCAGGGGAAATGCACACACCCCGGTGAGTGATATCTGAGGATTTTTGTGAAACAAACATTTCTTCTTGAGGAATTTTGAGGAGCTGTGTTAACTTCAAAGGCGAAACTTGCAAGTTCGGTATAGGATCATGAATTAAAGCAGTTTTAAACTTTTGTAATTATTTTATACAAAAATGGATGTGTAGATATTTAGAGGCTTTGTTTATCGGCAGTATTTCTTGGATTTATTTCTGTGAAATCAAGTGTCCGGTCTGGTAGCCATGGAGTAAGGTTGGTTTAAATTAAGGTAATAAAAGTTGTGATTATACAGAACTAATCCGTAGTCTATGTTTTTTAGCATGTTTGTTTCCATCACAAAGAAGTTTCCCTTTGTAGAGAAGAAAATAGCCATTCAGGCTGCTTAACACACACAAGAAATAGTTGTGTTTCCACAAATATTTTTTGCAATTTTTTTTTGGCAGAAATAGGTTTATAGCCTTTATTTCACTATGAATAATTTAAATTACTTAATTTGTGAAGTGCAGTGATGCTCTGAGTATTCATTGAACTCTGCATCCTCTATGACGTTAAATAACAGTTGTTATACTCTGTATATGTAGAGAGTCATGATCATAGAGGTGTATTCTTTCGTAACGTTTGGACTGTTGGTTTTGTAATTTTAACCATCTCAAAAGATTGGAATGTTAGTGTTAGACACCATCATTTTTTCACATCATTTTCTCTAGGTGAGAAATCTGGGTGATTGTACAAAAAATATCTTTTCCAGATATATTTTAACGCATACCTAAAATACCTGCAGTAATACAGCTACAGCATAGTGTCTCCATATTGTCTAAAAGAATTAACTGGACTGTGTTGTTTTCATGTAATTCAGTTTGTATTTTTGTGGCAGAGAAGCTCACCCAAACTAAAGTACTTTTACAGACCTCTTGGAATTCAGTGGTTTTGTATTACATATTTTGAGTCCTTTTATTCAAGAAGTGATTAAATACCCAGAACTGGTCTTAAGGTTTGTCTTCACTGTGTTGTTAGCTCGAGTTTGCTTTTGATTCAGTTTATTTTGTGTTCAAAACTGCAGCATGGGTGAAAAATACTTCCAGCTTTTTGGTATGGTGGTGTGGTTTGAAGCTCAGGTATTGCTTATGTGAATTAATAATACAGTAGTGGGTTGCTTCTTTACTTAAAATAACTCAATCTAACTGTGAAGACAAGCCTAACTACATTAAATATGTTTTTAAATTAGTGCTGGCAGTTGTTTTGGTATTTTTTTTCCCCTGTTTTGTTTGTTTTTAAATTAGGGTGTTTTGTTGTTTGTTTTTGGTTTGGTTCTTTGTAAGGTTCTCAAAACTGCAGGGTAGGAGACTTGTACATAAAAGTACTAACGTGCCGCAGTGTGCTTAATTCCCTTGCTTTTGTCTGCCAGTGTATCTTGTTGTCCTTATTTGGACCATGACAGGTCCAAGTTCAATTTAAATTTTACGTGTTTTTGTAGTAGGATAAGATTATTGTTTGCTTGATGTGTCTTGACTTGCAATTGTCTTAATAAGTTCACTTTGAACACCATAACATAAGATTTTGTATGTAATACTTCCATAACAGACTTTTACTAATGACTTACTGTTTTAAGGGGAGGCTAATACCTAATCAGCTGTCCTAGTCACATGTTACTGAAAGCCATATAAAAATTTTGTAACTGTTTTCTTTCCTCTTCAGTCTTCGTAACACTTCTTGTCCCTTTGTAAGGTCTTCTTACGAAAACTCCTGGCCAAATGACCAGGTCCCTTTACAGAGACATTGAAAGCCAACCCCTTGTCCTGAGGAGCTTGTAACTAGATAAGGCCACCTCTTTTAGAAGTTTGCCTGAAACATCAAAATATGTCCGTGTGCTGTGGCTGTTGCATCCTTGCAAGCTGTCAAATTTGGATTCTTCAGTGGTTTTTTTTCTGGTTTAGATTTCTCGGCTACTTGACTGGAAAGGGGTTTTTTGGAGTATTTGTGACCTCTTATGAACTGTTTCTACTGTAACTGCATGGAAGCAGAAGTCCCCTTTCTTTTCACTGACATTTCTAATCTCGTTTGATTTATGTATTGATACACTTCAGTCATTTTTATTTTTTTTAGGATTCTTCTCCAAATTAGTCTCAAAAGTTGCATTTAAGGCTGTCAGAAAACAAAAGCTTATAGAAATTTTGTAGCATTTTATTCTTCCACAGTAAACTAAATCAAGATATTTTCATTTTTCTTTTTACCAAAAGTCAGCTGCCTCTTACCTTGACCATCTCTCCAAAGAAAAAAAAAACCAAACACACCTTTAGAGTAAAAGAGTTTCCCAGCCAGTTATTTCAGCTTTCATTTGGATTTTTGCCTGAAATGTGGAATATCCAAGTTGACATTCTCTGCCTGGTTTGAGGCGGGTTTAAAATCCAGGTTTCGAATGTTATGGGCAAGCATCCTGGGTGAGATCTTGGATCTATATCCATCTTTCCACTCTTCATCCAACCTGTTTGGTGCTATAGAGGTATTAGTCTTGGCTGAATTTGGGGGCAGAGGTCTCTCATGGGTTTAATGGGGATAAGAGAAGGCGAAGCTAAGATTGAAATATAGTGGTCCAGGCTTCTTAAAGGAAGGATATTTGAAGTGACTGATGGTACACCTACAATGAGTGGAAATACTTTCAGCGCAGGAATTTCTCACAGTACTGGAATGGAGGAGAAACTCTCATGGTAACTGGAAGTCAAGCTTAAAATTAATTAAATAGCTCACATTAATTAGAACAAATTGCCATGCAGTATAATCGACTTTAAGTACTAAGCATTTCTGTGGATAATAAGTGTTGATATTTGCTAAAATGAGATTAATAAAATAAAGGATATAGGTCTTGATGCTTTGGGAGAAGCAGAGAAGTTTGAAATTAATTATGGGCAGATAGACTTTTAGATGTTTTTTCACTCTGCTGTGGGGATGTTAACGGCTTTTGTTTTACATTTCTAGTACAGCTCATTATCCTGTCTGTGAATCCTGAGCAATGTAGCTGGATTGTGTATGATAGACTTGGTCTTTATTTTGTAGCTTCTTGCAGTCTGGTCTCTGAATAAATGAAGTATGGCTTATGCCCTCCCCTCCAAATTTGATGTATTAGCCTATCTGTAAAGTCCATGGACTATAAGGTTTTTGTTCATAGTATATTTTCCAAAGAAAGATTGGAATCATGGTAAAAACATAGAATATGAGTATATGCACAGTAAAAGAAAAAAATCATTAAGGAATTTTTAGCCCATGTTTGTCCTAAAAATCAGGGGGAAAAAATTCCCATCTGTAATACTGGCAGCTTTCAGTCCAATACCTTGAAGTGGAAAGATTTTTTTTTTGTGTGTGTGTGTGTATGTTCCTAATAAATATTAGGTTCAATAGCCTAAATTACACTAGATATCAAATATCTTCAATTTTTTTTTTTTTTTTTTTTTTTTTTTTTCTTGTAATGATAGTTAAGCATTTGATCTTCTGAATTTCATATGAATATTGTAGTAGTGAGAAGTTGTCAGGTTATACTGGGGAAAATGAAAATTACTGTCTGTCTTCTGTTCAGAGTCTGCATCTGTGGACAAGTCTGTATCCCATTCTTGCACAACTCCTTCTACATCTTCTGCTTCTGGACTGAATCCAGCCTCTGCGCCTGCTTCATCTGCTCCTACAGTTCCTGTCTCACCTGTCCCACAATCACCAATTCCTCCGTTACTTCAGGACCCAAATCTCCTTCGACAGCTGCTGCCTGCACTGCAAGCCACCTTGCAGCTCAATAATTCTAGCGTAGATATATCCAAAATCAATGAAGGTAAGGATTCTTTAAAGTTAATGTAATCTCTTATTTACACACTTTAGTATATTATTGGGTACTAAGCTGTAGTGAATGCAAGCCTTACTTTCAATTAAAAGTGAATAAATGAATCCCTAGATAAAGTGGGGATTGTTTTTGTTTGTTTGTTTGTTTTCTGTTAAACCCTTTTAAATTAGCCAAGTAACGTTTAAGGTTGTTAAGCTAATAAATGCTGATGTATGTGAGCAGTCTGATTGAGACTGGTGACTTAATCGCTGTATCAGCATTCATCTGTTGCACAGAATTTAGTTAGAGCTTTTTGTTCTTTTGTTTCGTGCAGTTTTCTTTGTTTTCTCTAGTTTGTGCTGCTATTCTAATAGTGTGTGTTCACAAATACTGAAACTTCTGGGGATTCTTAAATCTTGTTGCCTATCAACTTTTTTTCTTTAACAGAATATGTTAGCCTCTGAATAAAGATAGCATATCAGTAATTTTGCTAGCAAATTAAATTTTGTGCATGTAATCGGTGTATCCCTTAGATTTTTGTCACATTGGCCTAGTTTATTAGAAGAAAGTTTAGAACAAGCTATAGTGCCGTTTGCTGCAAGAACAGGCAGAGTTAATGCATTTTGAATGTAATTTTATCTAATGTGTTGTCTGCATGTGGCAGTTTACTGATGAAGGAAGTAGTGTGGGATTTTTTTCTTTGAACTTCTTGGGCACTGATCACCGATTCAAATAGGAAGCAAAAAATTTACACGTAGTGCCCAGAGTTAATTATCTTTTAACTTTTTAAAAGTGCAAAGCATGAAAGTCTTTATTTAATTTACTTACTTCAATTTACTTACTTTATTTAATTTACTTAAAATTTTACTATTCTGTATGTTACAATTATTTATAAGGAAAAGCTGTCAATTGACTTTCTTTTAATGAGCAAATACTATGGCTTCATTGAGTAGTAATAGGTGAGTTGGTGATTGTTTTTTCTTGTGCCAGGGAGAAGCTTTTAAAACTGTAGTGCACTAGGCTGGACTATAAAAGTAGGAGTATTGTGGTTGTTTGTGTTAAAAAATGAAAGGTCCAGTCAAGACTCCAACTGTATTTTATTAGAGAGCTGCCAATTTAAGTTCCTAGTCATTTTCTCTTGCCGTATCTGAGCAGCACCTGTGTCTGTCTTGGAACAAGAGTGTTTAGTATTGTTCTGGTGGCACGAGGGCCTGGCTGGCAGGTCCATGTGGGCAGAGTGACTTCACCTTGTGCAGCAGGACTGCCCTTACTGTGCAGATGATGCAGAGTGAGTCAGTTTTTTCAGTCTTGTGCATGGGTAGTGTATGTTCAGGAAGTATCCCACAGAGCCTGCAGACCTTTTTGAAAAGATTAGTTCAGAAGCTGGGTCTCACTGTAGATGCTCTTCCTGTGTTGTGCAGTTTTAAAGTGGTTGAAAATTATTCATTTTTTTACTGGAGGAGAGGGGGATGGGACAGCTAAACCCAGAACAAAAAAGTTTGAGAGTTTGTTTGTTTGTTTGTTTTTTCCTAAGAAGAAACACTTAAGTGTCTGGATTTTTAACTTGAAAGATCTTTTCTTTTTCCTTGAACAGGAAGTCTTCCCCCCATCTCTTTTAGTGAGTCAAAGTGATACTGCTTTTTTGCTTTTTTTAAAAAAAACTATTGTAGTTTAAAAAAAGAACCCACATATTCTGCTTACTACAATCACAAATTGAACAAATGTTCTCAATGTTTACAAGAACTATTATTGATCCATAAGGTCAAGCTGAAGAGTTAAGGTTATTTTCTGAAATAATTTTTTTAGTGTATGTCTCAAAGATAAAACTACTAAATAAAGGACTTGGTTAGACATGCCAAGCATTCATGAATTGAATTAAAGTGATTGAAAAATAGTTCAGGTGGCTCTTTGGTCTATTGTGGATATGGGAACAATATCAGAAAGAAAATGCAGCTTAAATGTATTTAGCCAGTTTGAACAGTTTAAAGTGATTTTCTAGAACTGCCAGTAAAACAGAATGTTTGTTTTTAGTTCTAACAGCAGCTGTGACACAAGCCTCTCTGCAGTCTATACTCCATAAAATTCTTACTGCTGGACCATCTGCTTTCAATATCACTTCCCTAATTTCTCAGGCTGCACAACTGTCTACGCAAGGTATTCAGAGTCTTCTTTTCACATACGTAAAATTGTTCAGTTGCATTTTATAAAGGCTGATACAATTGAAACTTGCAGAAGCTGTCTCTTGTCCTCTCTTTGGCCATCTGGTGTGGAGGATGTCGAATGGCTTCTTTTTCCAAAGACAGGATAAGAAATGGTTACTTGGGGAGCAGGAAGCTGACACACAACTAAGTAAATGCGCTTCTCTGTCTCGCCTTTTGGGATTTTCTTTGTACGTTTAACTAACTCTATATGAGTAATGTGAAACATGTGCGAGACCCTCTCAATTTATTCTGAACCTTAATTAGATGTTATTTAATGTTCAATATAAAACACAACTCTTCCTTGCTTGAACACCCTTTTTGTAATACTGTGCAACTGTGACTCTTGGGGGAGGCCTTAAATTCTTAAAAGAAAGTTTATTTTGTCTGGTGGGGGGGGGGGGGGGGCGGGCTTTGTAGTCTTCTGTAAATAATATTTTTCAGCTTCCAGGCAAGATATTCCTTCAGGTGTCTTCAATACATTCTGGTTTGTAACTTAATAAAGCTAGGAACTTAAACCAAAACAATAAATGCAGTCATGTTATTGAGTAGGTACGCAGTATTATGCTAATTTTTAACCAGTGATTAAAATGTCAGTGGGGGCTGTTGATAGATGCCTAGAATTCGTGAATATGTAGATAAACTGTTCATGCATTCTTCCGGTTAAATCGAAAAAAATAGGAAATCTTTTTCCTCTAAAATAGGAATTGCAAATTAAACTAATTTAGTCTCTCCATGTGTAAAAAGCATTGCATAATAGCTGCTTCTCTTTCCCCCTCCCCTCAAGTTTTAGAAGTGGAGGGTTAGGGCAAAATGCAGTTCTTTAGGTAGGATTGTTGAACATTTGATTGTTCCAGTTGTTCGCCCCCCCCAACTGTCTCAAGGTGAGTATGTTTGTATATTATCTAATACAGCATACCACAAAGTACAAAAAGAAAATTTTATTCACATTTAAGATAGGATACAGTTTTATTAAAAACAATCTTTTCTTTCTTTCTTTACAGCTCAGCCGTCTAATCAGTCTCCAATGTCTTTAACATCTGATGCCTCATCGCCAAGATCATATGTATCTCCAAGAATAAGCACGCCTCAGACTAACACTGTTCCACTTAAACCTTTGATGACTACGCCACCGGTATCATCGCAGCAGAAGGTAAACTCCTTTTGATTTATGCCATATTGTTGTAAGAAACCATTATAGGTAATACTGAGTATTGCTGCTATATATATCCATGTGCTAGCAGTTACATATAGGATGATAAAATATGTATGTTATCTTTCCCAATAGAAAGAGAAACAATGGGAAGCACCTACTTGGCTGTATTTTTGCAGTACAACTCTAGCATGGAATTCTAGTACACTTTTCTGTTGTTGAAGAAAATCTTTTGCTCTGTTCAGATGTGTCCTGGAGATACTACGAAGAGATCAATATTTTAACATTTAAATGGAAAAAAAAACTTGCTCCAAAGGCAACAGCTGATACAGTTCTCTAGACTTTAGCCAGTAAAAGACTTTTAGAATGGGAGAGAAATTCTTGGGGAAGTTGAGATGTAGTCTCAGATTTGGTTTAGAAATGTTCTAGGTGTTTGCAAGGTCAATAACATTGTCCCTTTCTCTTTGCGCGCCATCACCCCCATTCATTCGGAATTCCTTAATTGGATCAGAGACTAGGAAACATTAATTGAAGCTAACTAATAAGTTCCTAAGGTTCTTCATAAGGATGAAGTAGAAAACATAAACTTGTCTTTTTTACTTTTTTGGGGGGGTGGTGGTGATTCCTCTAATGGGTCACTGTTCAGAGGAAAAATGTCTTTTGCAGAATCTGAGCTCACTATTCCATATTCTACAAGTGGTGATATTGAGGAATAAATACAGTTGAAGCTGAGATTATTGATTGATTGATTGACTTTCTCTGTCCAGCAGATCAGAGACTGTTTTGCTGTGTACAGGTGGGGAAAGTAGATGTAATTAGAGGCACTCAAGATGAATTTCCCTTTAAGGGTTTTTCTTTTTCCTTGTTTAAAGACTAGTGTTTCATATTTATAGAGCAAGGGTGGGAAGAGATACTGGGTTAAAGGACCTGTTATGAAGGAGGATTTTGTTACTGAAGAGGACTGAAGGCAGAGCTATTGCTTTGCACCCTCTGGTGGAAAGTAACCTTTTACATTCAAGGTAGTTTTGTAGTGATAGGTAAAGCTGCAGGGCATAACACTCTTGTCCCTTTTAGGCAAGTTTAAAAAAACAAAACAAAAAAAAATAGCAGTTTCCAGTGATGTTCTGGCTGTGAAAAATAGAAGTCTGTTGAGGAGGATTTGGACCTCTCCTAGGTTTGCTGCTTTCATGCAATGAGAGCTTGTCCTGTCTCTTCATTGTACAGATCTTTCTTTCAAGATTGAGACAGTCAGGTTTTAACTCAGTCTATGAGTGTGTTGCTCAGTGGATATCTCATCAGCATAAGAAGCATGAATCTAGACTTTGGGGTGAGACCAGCCTTGTTTGATTTTTTTTTTTTTCTTTTTCTTCCCTAAAATCCCTGTTCTCAAACCCCCACCCCCGCTTAGCTAAGGCATCTTTCTTTCAATTTTTTGCTCAGAAGAGAACCTCTTACGTCTTGAAGGCCTTTAAAGAATACTTTTATCTTCAGGAGGACAGGTTGCATTCCTCATTCTAGTCTAAATGCCTCATTTTCTTACATTTGAATTTTTTCATGGGTACAACGAAAACCAAGTGATTCTTCCAGTTTGTTGTGATTGACAATGGTACAATGAATTGTGAAAGCCTCACATGTGTACTAATCCTGCTTGTTGTCTTTGTTTCTGCCCTTGGAGTGCATCCTGAATCTATGTGGTCACATCCCATGGCTAGGTGACAAGTAATGAAATTATCAAACAGCAGACTTGAAACAAAGAAGGGAGATGCCTGGCACTTTCAAATCCTGGGATATGAAAAGGAATATTCTTAAGTTGTTTACTGTCAGTAACTGGAAGTTGATCTCTTCTGGTCTCCACAACCCAGAGATCTGGATCTACTTTATAAATAATAAATTAAAAATAAATATAAATAAATAAAGTTCTGATCGTCAGCTACATGCTTCTTTAGTATTTATCCTCCTCCTACAGATGTTTTCCTAGAACTGCACAGACAAACTTGAACCCACTGCCTTTCACCCAGTATAAAGGCCAGCATTTATACCTATGAAGTAGGTGGTGTGGTAGTAAACTATGCCTTAAGAGAAAGTGAAGGCAAGCCAAGTGTTGTAAGTAGGGCCAATCTGTCTTGGTAGACCAACTGTATCATTGAATATGCTTTTGGACACACAAGCCTTCCCTCAGGTTTTCAGTAGAAGCATAAAACTCCAAGGCTAAATGCAGGTTTGAGAAGAGTTGATCTGAGTTTAGTGTAAGTTGTAACTACAGCAAGGCTGCCACTCCTCGAAAAAACAAAAAAAAAAGCGTTGGTTATTTTATGCTTTGTTTGATATGAGAATCTCCATTTACATGCAGGGCTCTGTGATTGCCTATAGTTAGTGACTTGGCATGCAGGGTTTCACCTCTGGTATTTTGAAGGAGGGTATTGTGTGTTTTATTCATCCGTATATAGAGGTTCTTCTGAAAGTGGTAATGTCTATGTTTTGATGAGCGTACTGTGACACATTTTGGAATTACTCTATTTTAATCCATCTTTCCTTAAGACTGCACCACAATGAGGTGAGATTGCACATCTGGTTTATTTTTGAAGCACATATAATGTGGTTGCAATCAAAGTGTTAAGTGTAGTAAATTTCTGAGTTACTCGTTCTAAGCTATAAGGTCTTTGCTTCAGAATGCCATCAATCCTGATGGACTGTTGTGCATTATTTTATACACTGGCAAGTTTTCACTCCCATCCCTCTGTGAGGAAGTTATAACTCTTACTACACTAGGATGTCATAACCATAAAAGCTTTCTATTTTCTAGGTATCTTGAGTAGCTTCACAGATTAGCTAAACAGAATTAGTAGTAATGCTTCACAGCAGGAGCTTTTCTTGGTTTTTGTTTTCCTCAAATCTGGTGCTAACAACAGAGCTGTTGAAATATTAACATAAATTGTTTGTGTGTTAGTCCCAGAAGTAACAAAAGAAAGAACTTTCTTGATAGTTCTTATATTCACATAATTCAATTCCATAAGATGGGATAGAGATGAGAACTTATGTTGTAATAGCTCCGGTGTAAGCACGTCTGTGTTAGTACTCCTTTGGATACATCAGTCAGGTTAGCTTATCCAGTTCCAAAAGTTTGAGGTAAATGATGCATAATCAAGTTGTGGTGCTGTGCCAGGACACACTTGGTTCCAGAGCACAAGCTCATTGGCTTAGGGTGCTTCCACGCAGCAGGCGTAGACAAAGCTGAACTGGCACCATGCAAGCAAAGCCCAGTGCCAGATGCCCACATACTTGGGCTGGCTCTGGGAACGCTGTAGTGCCGTTTGCACAGTTGGGCTTGTTACTTAGGACTGCATGAACGTGTCTGTACTGCTTTTAAGCTCAAGCTGGTATGTCTGCCTGGTGTGCTATATGCATACGGCATCTAAGGTGTCACAGACTCCAGGATCCTAGGCATCACATTTTGCTATTTAGCTGTGCCTGTGTTGTAGGGTTAGAAGCTCTTACGAATTTCTGCAAAATAACTGTGTAAAGCATATGTTACACAGACCTGACAGGCTCAGTGAGAATGCTGCTTATGGAAATTCTTTTTTTATTTAGCCCTTGTTATTCTTTTGTTCCTGGTACACTTACTTGGAGTCTTTGAAACACTTGGAAAATGGGGAATAGTTAAGAGTCTTTGTGACTCATGTATCTCACAAATCCCAGTTTTTCTTTACAATCCATTTTTGTTTTTATTTTTACCAGCCAAGGAACTGATTAGTTTTCCAGTTTGGATCTGCAAGGTGATTATCTCTGGTATTATCTCTGATGGACTTTCCTTTTGAAATTGTTCCTTCTGTTCAAACAGCCTCTTGTAATGTCTGCTCACAGGGTGGGCAAAATTCAGGCATCGATAGCAAAGTTCTTCATGTCATATATTTCATAAAGATACTCAGGTAGTCTTTTTTCATAAATTAATTTATGAACTGCTACTATTTCGCCCCCCTCAACTGTATAATTCTGTTGATTTCAACACACTGAGTCATCTTACAATGATCGTGCTTTATCTTTCCAGAACCATGACCTTTTCATGTGCTATTCAGACTTTTTTTGGTTTTTGATGATAATTTTAAAAGGTGGCTTTTCCTCTTAGACATAAAAGTAGGTTTGAAATTACATTAAGATTTGCTGTATATTTAAATAAATGAACTTATGTCTTGAGTTTACTTTAGCAGATACCATATGACTTGCCGTCTGTAGTTTGTTTCACAGGAGTTTGTTTCTGAAACTGAGAGAATTTCTGGAGGTTCAGATGACCTAGTTAGTAATCTACACCAGCTTGATGTCAGCAAATGCCGGACAGGCTGCCTGATTTATGTTTTTGTCTTTATGGATACCTAAACCCTATTTTTCTTCCTTCCCTCTTTCTTAAAATTGTTAGGTTGATTTTCCAGAGTGGGGGATAAATTTTGGAGCTGCTTCCTCTCTTGTACGTACTTTAAAAGGGATAGGGGTATGCAGAGTATGGGGGGGGGGGAAAAAATCGTGAACTCCATTTACTGTAACTTAGACACTAGTATATTCCCAAACTTTTCATCCTGTTGTAGTTAGGAATTCACAGAAAAAAGACTATATCTCACTGCTGGTGTATCAATATCTTAAATGTGAATGTGTACTACAAATTAAAAGGAAAAAAAGCTACTAGTAACTCTTTTAGTCATTCATTGGTTTAGAACTGACAGAACAGTTAAAAAGGGGGAGTAGCAGACTGATAAATGTGCTTTAAATTTTTTTTTTTCATGTATGATAGAGATGTTATAATACCCTTACGACCTAATTCTGCTCTTGACACTGTGTAATGTATTTTCAAGTAGGGAACTTTTAATTTTTTAAGTGAAAATGTTTATTTGGATATTGAACAATTCTTCTGAGGTTGAAAATGAGCTTGGTGCTCACATGGAAGATATGGTCAAAAATGAAATTGGGTTGAACTAGTCTGCCTAATAAATTTGCAATATTTTGACAAGTCGGATCTAAATTTGCTTCCGTTATGTCTATTAAGCACTCCTTCTATTTTAGTAAAAAAAGCTATCGCAGCTGTGGAACTAGAGATGATTTTTTTTAAAAAACACCTTGTGAAGAGTATAAGAATTCTGTCAACAAAAGACCTTGTATCAAAAAATCCCACTGTCTTGTAACTTAATTTCTGTGCTTTCCTCTGGTTGTTAGACTTGATATTTACTGTGGAGGAAATCTAATGAAGTTTTGAACTTTCCAGGTTGCTACTCCAGGTGTTAAACAAGGACCAGCTTCACAGGCAGCACCTCAGCAGCCGGTAATAGCTGACAAGCAGGCAGGTCATGAACCTGCCTCTCCACGAAGTCTTCAGCGCTCAAGGTATATTGAAATACTCTGTGCTGTCCTCTGTTTTTGCTCTGGATCCAGTGTATGTTGTATGTGTTGCAATTCGTGGATTCTTCTTTGGCCTATTTATTGAACATATGATTTAACTCTGCTGCCACTGAAAGGATGCGGATATCTCTGTTACAGAGCTAATGTGGTAGATTCTCCATTTTAGGACCACCACTAGAGTTCCATTCACAGAAGTAAAATAGAGTTAATATTTCTGCCCTGTCACTGTGGAGCCAATTTTACAAGTGATTTCTTGTATTGTGATTTCTGAGTTTGGAGTTTTTGTTTCTTACTCTGCAGTTAGGAGATTAAATGCTTTAACTCTCTGTGATTTTCTGTGTTAGATGTTTGTGGTGTCTTGCTGTAGTGTGATTTGATTTTTAAATTAGTAAGAACTTTTGTGTATCAGGCAATTTTGCTGCTTTAATGAAAAACATTAAAAAACGAAGTAAGTTTCACAAACGCTTTTCCTTGGCCAGACTTTTATGGCACCATTGCAGCCTATTCAGATGTTGCATGATAGGAACATTTAGCCATGGATTTTCAAGGTGGGTTTAGAATTTGTATCTTGTCTGAAATTTTTCTTTTGGGAAGATGGGCTTTTCATTGTGTAGGATGCTGTGCACTTTATCATATTGGTCCCAGGGGCTGTAACCAAAGATTTGCCATAAGATCCTTCTGTGATGGAGTCATGGCCTGGAACCTGTGGCAGGAGAAGACTGCAGGTTGACTTTTTAAAAAGTGCATCATTACAATGGATTCCTGTAAATCTACAAAGGGTTGCGTTTCTTAAACGCTAGATTTTTAGAGTGGCTGAATAAGGTGTGTGGTATGATATTAAAAAACAAAACCAAAACCCAAACAAACAAACAAACAAACAAACAAAAAACAAACCAAAAAAGCAACCACAACCAACCACGTGGTGGTGCTTTCCAGATCATAAAATAGTGAGGTCTTTTTATCTGCCCTTCTGGGATTTATAATAAAGGGGACCTTCGATTACGTGCTATCAATGTGGTAACTTATTGTTAGATTTTCAAATCTGTGTTGGTTTTTGTGGGGAGAGGGGCATTGTTTTGTGTTTCGTTTTTTTTGAGGGGTGGGTTTTTTGTTTGCTTGGTGTTCCTGTCCCAGTGACTGGCTTTACTGGAGACACTGTGATATTGATCACTTTCAGGGTACAAACAGAAGCAAGTCAGATTTTGAGTCTTTAATGTTGTCTATCTTACAGACACTTGATTCTAATCTTTGGTAGATGCCTAACCTACAACTTATTCTTCTGTATGGGTAGAATAAAGACATAGTGTAGCAGCTCCAGTGTGTAGTAATTATGGATGGTGCTGTTTAAATCTTTGTGAATTACACTACTGAAAATAAAATTATACTTGGCAACCAGCTAAACCTTTTTAATAAGGAGACTAGGCCTTTTTATAAGGAGCAGTGAGGTTTTGGGGAGTAGCTCTCAGTCATGGACCCATTTGTCCTTTGCTGATCACCCTTTCCCCATAGGAAATCTTGCTAAGGAAGATGGTCTTATTCTTGGAAACATTCATTATGGCCTGGACTCTGTGTGAAGCAATACTGGTGGGCATTTGGCCTGCTGATCCATACCTGACTGTGGTGTCCACCACTGCCTTTTGGGTTATAGGACTTCCTACTCTGGCATAACCCTTACCCACATTGCCTTCCCTTTAGGGGTATACTGGCCCTCTGCAAACCATCGGTCTGCTTGGTATCAGCATTTTGCTGGAGAAGGGAAGCTGAGTTTGTCCTATCAACTAGCGCTGAAGCGGAGGGGCCATGGAGGTAGCACTGTCTGGTATTAGAAGAGGAGGTGCAGGAGGCAGTGCACAAATAGAGTGCACAGCCTAGTATCAAAGATGTTGTGACAATATTAGTATTATTTAGTGTCCTGTATCAAAATTATTACACATTTGTGACAGTGGTATATGGTGCATCACAAGTTTGTGCGTTTCTGTTGCTTTCAGAAGTGTCTCATTTGCAAAAAATGAAAGATTAAGGAACAGGTGATTTGGAAAAACCTGTGCGACTGGTATTTTCTTCTGTTCAGTGTAGGGGAGATGAATGAAAATCATAGAATCATAGAATCATTAAGGTTGGAAAAGACCTTTAACATCATCAAGTCCAACTGTTAACCTAGCACTGACAAGCCCACCACGAAACCATGTCCCTAAGCACCACATTTCCCATTTGTTAAATACCTCCAGGGATGGGGACTCAACCACTTCCCTGGGCAGCCTGTTCCAATGCCTGACAAAAAAGTTGTAGAGAGCAATAAGGTCTCCCCTCAGCCTCCTCTTCTCCAGGCTAAACAACCCCAGCTCCCTCAGCCGCTCCTCATAAGACTTGTGCTCTAGACCCTTCACCTGCCTTGTTGCCCTTCTTTGGACACGCTCCAGCACCTCAATGTCTGTTTTGTAGTGAGGGGTCCAAAACTGAAACAGTATTGGAGGTGCGGCCTCACCAGTGCCAAGTACAGGGGCACTATCACCTCCCTGGTCCTGGAGGCCACACTATTTCTGATACAAGCCAGGATGCTGTTGGCCCCCTTGGCCACCTGGGCACACTGCTGGCTCACATTCAGCCGACTGTCAACCAAGAGTCAACCAACCAAGCCAGGTCCTTTTCCGCCAGGCAGCTCTCCAGCCACTCTTCCCCAAACCTGTAGCGTTGCATGGGGTTGTTGTGACCCAAGTGCAGCCTTGTTGAACCTCACATAACTGGCTTCAGCGCATCGATCCAGCCTGTCCAGGTCCCTCTGTAGGGCCTTCCTACCCTCCAGCAGATCAACATTCCCGCCCAACTTGGTGTTGTCTGCAGACTTACTGAGGGTGCACTCAATCCCCTCATCCAGATCATTGGTAAAGATATTGAACAGAACTGGCCCCAGTACTGAGCCCTGGGGAACACCACTTGTGACTGGCCACTGACTGGATTTAACTCCATTCACCACAACTCTTTGGGCCCGGCCGTCCAGCCAGTTTTACACCCAGCGAAGAGTATGCCTGTCCAAGCCATGAGCAGACAGTTTGTCCAGGAGAATGCTGTGGGAAACAGTGTCAGAGGCTTTACTAAAGTCTAGGTAGACAACATCCACAGCCTTCCCCTCGTCTACTAAGTGGGACCAGCTCAGATGTAGATTTAATCATCTGCGAAAGATTTCCTGTGTCTGGGCGGTATTTCTGATACAGAACAGATTATTCTTTTGTAGGTGAAAGCAGTCAGTCAGATTGGGGTCTGCTCTTGGGGCTAACTCCCTTTACTTTTTTATAGGAATGAACAACAGCTTAGCAACCTGAACTGTGGATGGGGGGTCCAAAAAGAGGCTCTATGAATTAAGGTTGCATTTTTCTACAGCTTAAATACAGATTGATTGTGCAGAATTTAATCACAACTATATTTCCTTTGCTTTTAGTATTACTAAATTTTTAAGCAAATGGAGCTAAAATTATTTTTAACTTGTTTGGGAAGAAGCACTGTCTAAGAAATAGGTGAATAGCTATTGGTAACTTTAAAGTTGTAAAATTTGAGTCATGTAAGTTAGGAAATTAATGCAATGCCAGGCATACAGTGAGTCTTTTTATAAGAGATGATTCCAAAGACATGCCATAAATTATGGCTGCTTTAAAAATGGGACTAAATAAGTGCTTCCATAATGAATAGTTTCATCAGGTTGTTAGTTTCACTTGATTTCCAGAAAAGACTGGGAATATTTTTCCTTTACCTTAGAAAATGCAAAACCGCCGGAGGGGGGAGGTGTTTCATCCCTTTTTTTTTTTTTTTTTTTTTTTTTTTTTTTTTTTGGGGGTTTGAAGTTTTTTTTTTTTTTTTTTGTGTTTTTTAAAAA